CGTTCTTTTATAGAGGGTTCTTTTATGGAGGTGCGACTGTATTGATTTTTCTATTAGTTTGATATTACTAAGCGCGAATCATTTGATCAGATTTATAAAATATGTTGCACAAACCAAATGTCTATCGTCTTTTTGACTTGCAGCGCACGAAAATGGATAGCTTTATTGATCTGTTCGGCCTCTCATCGGACTATGAAAAGCTTTACGAAAGTGGCAAATATACGGATGTCTCAATTCATGTTGGGAGGGAACCTAATAGCAAAATATTTCTTGCTCATACGTTGGTCTTATGTACGAGAAGCACGTTTCTTGAGAATAGCCTAACCGGAAATACAGAGATGCAAAGGGCCGCCATAACGCTTGAAGATATGGCTCCTGAGGTTTTCGAAACATTACTTAGGTAAACGTCTAAGTTAAACATTAAACTTTGCAATATGTAAAAATACTCATTTGTAACGAAATACTAATAACGCTAATATGTTAATGTAGGTTTATTTACACTGGACGGTTGGCCCATAATGCATGCAAGAACGTAGGTTGGTTCAGCCTTTTGGACGGAGCTAGCAAGCTTGAATTACTGGATCTTCTTGTTGGAATTGAAACTTATTTGATTGAAAAACAGGAGGATTGGATTCAACAGAATATTGTCACAGTTTACAAGTATGCCACATCCACAGTCTCTTCGAACAAACTTCTGGCATACTGTAATCGAATTATAGCCTCCCACCCAGATATTATCTTTAAATCGAATGATATTGCAATCTTACCAAAGGAGATTCTGATCACTCTTCTCAAAAGTGACGAGCTTAGCATGAATGAAGATGATGTTTGGAAGTCAGTCATACAATGGGCCATTAAACAGGTACCTGAACTAGAACTTGGGGATGATCCAGATAAGTGGTCATATAATGATATTAACACGGTCAAGGATATCATAGCAGATTGTGTACCTCATATAAGATTTATCAGTATCTCTCCCAAGACGGTTGTTCTGTATAATGATTTATTGCCAAGAAAAATGTGCCGTGATATACTTAATTATTATATGGATAAAGATAATAAATCAAGCGCTCACATGCTACCACCAAGAACAGGATATATTGATTCACTTAAACAACAAGCAGAAGAGTTGAAAAGACGAATTCAAGGAGAGTCTATAACCAGTCAAGGAGATGCACCGATGTATCAATTCATCTCTAATCATCCTCAATTGGTGACGGTCTCGGAGAAAGGACGAGTGCTGCAGTTTAATAATAAAACGGAAATTTCGGTGCAGACAAATTACCCATTGCTTATTCGGACGGATTCTGTTGAGAATGAGGATGCGAGCGGTGGTAATAATACGATGTTTGCTTCAGTGAGTATTGTTTATTACTGCTACGTTATATGCTACGTGTTTGTAAACTGTCCCATCCGCATAACCTTAGTTGGATCTGCTGTCGCTATACGTATACTAATAATACGATATTAAAATCAGGAGACAACACATTTGCCATCAATGCATTACTTTGAGATTACTGTGCTGTCGAACACAAATTCGGAAGCTTCAGCAATAGCAATAGGTCTCGCCACGAAACATTATCCACCATTCAGGTATGTAAATAATAAAAATATTCAATTACCAAGTAACGCTCTTTTTTTCATATACGCATACAACTCATTTCATGCATGCCAATAGTCTGCCTGGTTGGTATCTTCACTCAGTCGGATACCACTCTGATGATGGACAAAAATTTTATGACGCCGTTAAAGGCAGCAGTTATGGTCCTACATGGGGTGAAGTTGGTGATACTATCGGATGCGGATATTATCCTGATCGTGGATGCGTGTTCTTTACGAAAAATGGAGAGAATCTTGGAGATGCGTTTACTGGGATTCGGCATATTTGGTTTCCCACAATCGGCGTGGTTGGGTCATGTAAATTACAAGTCAACTTTGGTGACGGGGAGCGGCCATTTAGGTATCTTGAAGCGAGATGGTTTGGACCTGCCAGGCCTATTCAATCGGACAATGAGTAGAAACACATTACTACTTTGTTATACCTTATATTATTGATTGCATGTACAATGTATGTAAAATAATGTACAATTAATTAAATTTCCTTGCTGGAAATTTAGCTACACCGTACCCGAAATGAAGAGTATTTTCGCGATTTCTTAGTACTCTCACTTAACTCATTGACGAATCGGATCGGTATTACTTCTACTACACTAATACTAATAATAATAATAAATTAATCTAAGAAACAATGATTTCTACTACCATCAGCTGGTTCTTCCAATCGCAAATTAATTGTTATCGAATCCTTGTCCAAAACTGCGTAGGATAAGTGGACCATGACAGAAAATTGAAAGAACTGATAGTTTTTGATTAACAATCGCGAGCATAGAACAAAAGAAAACATACAGATGATAATTAAACAGATCAAATATTTAACAAACAGACGGACAATAAGTATTGCACACTTTGTATTTATATGTAACAAAAAAAAGAAGTAATAAATGAAAGAGTGAAATAGCCATCCGCATCGAATAAACCAGTCGTGAACCAATTAACTTTTGTGCTATATACTGTATTATTTGCCTAAACGAAATGTTTATTTTGCGATGATCAACAAAAAAAAATTAAATAAGAAAACCTTATTGCACAAATGGGTTTTGACAAAAGCTCACTAATTTCAAAAAGGTGGTATAAATGGGGCAAAATCAAATTACAGTCTTGTAACAATCGCAAATGATAGGATACCACCGCACATCGTTCAACAGTTTTTTGCAGCCCACAATCAGGAAATCCGCAAAGCGACAGCGACCGCGCGCATTCGAATCTGAAACCGCTCCTGGTGTTATAATTATATTAATGGCTAACAAGTAATCATACTTTATTACTAATTTATGTTATATTATTATCATAAATTTTGATATTTGTTCACACAATAACAACTTGATTGTTTTTTGAGTTTTCAAAACATCCTAGTCTGGTGTTAACAAAGCAAATCAGCAACCTTCACTTTTTAACACAATCACAGAAAATGAAGCTTTGAAGGTGGATAAATAAATATTGGTATAAAACTTTGAAACAAACATAAATGAAACTTGATATCTATAATGATAGGAAGAGGCACATACAGTACATATTATATGAATGGAATACAATTCCCAGTGACGTTGATCAATATTTTTGTCTGGATATTTTACCTCCAGAATAAATTATTTACTCTGTAATAATACTATCGTCAGACAAATTAATGGAGCTGGCTATCCAATGGCTTATTTATTTCTTGGTACTGCAACAAATACGGCTGGAGCTCGGACAGCAGCACTTAATGTGCTGAAACTTACGTAATGCGTAGTAATGTTACGTAATAAATAGGGTGTAACGTTTAGTCTACTGTCACGTAATGATTGTACAACATTGCAATTCATATTAATATCATTTCCTCTTCTATTTTAATAATATATCGATACATTATTAGAATCAGACAGTTATACAGCACAGTAAGTGATATTTGCAAAATCAATGGGACACAATGTCATTCTGGGGAGTTTGGGGACAGAAATTTTTACGACTTAGAGCTTAATTCCTCAATTTTTTTAATAAAATCTAACCTTTAATCTTTTGCGATTTAGGCGTTAACTCCTAAATAATAATGAAATTGACGACATATTTGCAGTTGCATCATAAATTTGCTTAAAACATCCCAAATACGGTAAATATGTCTAACCTCTAAATTTAGTCGTAGGCATTGATTTAGACAATATTTTCCAATTAACAATGAAATTAATGACGTATTGCGCCACTTTGGCAAAAGTTAGCTTAAAAACATCTTACTATTACGCAAGATAAGTCTGACCGCTGTCCTTGCCGTGCGGCGTAAAAATAAGCTTAAAACCGCTTTAGACACAGAAATAAGTCTAACCGCTGTCCTTGCCGTACGGCGTAAAAATAAGCTTAGATATGAACAAGTCTAACTTTATTACAAACTAGCCTTTTCGCGCAATTTTTTAACATACCGAATCATGTAAAATCCTCGTTTATGCAAATTACATCGCCCACAAGCGGATCCAGTAGGTTTGCCACAATCAGAACAAGGAATGCGTTTTTTTACATTTATAGTGATGCCGGCATCCTTCAGGCCGAGTACAGGCTCTACCGCAGACTTTCCCAGAATTATGAAGATAATCGCATGTATATTTCGCTAACATTTTATATAGTGGACAATATTTTTAAATTGCAAAATTGTTTACGCATATATATAAAAACCAAACGCGACATACCATGGCTAGAGCCAACAAAACATCAACTTCAGATGCATATCCTGAATGTGTTCAAGAATTTAGTATTGAGATAGCTGATTACAATCCAATTGCTCCAGCCGGCCATATGCCTTTACCAGAAACAATACCAAAACGTAATAATGGTATAATAAATATTCAAAATAATGATGACTGGTGTTTTGGATGGTGTGTCTTAGGAACATTGCATCCGATTAAATTCATCCGGAGGAAAGCAGGCCAGTTTGATTTTCGTCTTTGACGAAGCTCGCACAATGATTTCTCCCGAGTTCAATTACTTCGTGCATTTTTGCCGTGCTTTGCGGTGTATTTCTGAAGAGGAGTATGTTTTCGTCCTCATATTGGACACTACCTCAAGGATAACAAACTTCATGCCTCTCAAGGAATTTGATCTGTCAGATCATATACTTTTAACCAAGAAAAGTTACTCACTCCTTACGTTCTTGTTGGCAGATTTGATCTTCTCGTAACAACAGTATATCAGCAACTGTGCAACAATAACAAATGGCTTGATGACATACCCTCAGACTGGAATGGGGTACCTGCGACACTTGAAGATATCAACCATCCCTTTTGGCTGGCATGTCTTGGACGGTCTCTTCATGGATCTTTCCTGCAAGCTACTAAAGAAAATTGGGTTGTTTCATTCCATGCTTTAATGAATATGTTGAAAAGCAAACTGCTAGGTTCAGCTTCTTCTACATATCTTATGGATCAGAGAAAGCTTTCCACAACTACAGCATTAGCAGTCCTAGGCCCGCGGTTGTGCATTGATGTGGTACCGTCCTCCTCTCTCTCTTCTGAACTTGTTGCATCAAGAATGGCTGTGTGCACACATATCTCAGAACAGCGAGACATGTCTACATGTGCTACCCATCGGAACCACTCCTTGCAGAAGCGTCAGCACAACTCATGAATGAGACTGGAGCAATGCGGATGCTTTTGCCTCCACTTCTTTCTGCAGTGCATTATGGTTTGGTTGAGGGTGGCTATCGAGGTGAGTTGGTGGCATGTTGTATCCTGCTGATGGCATGGGATGAAACATGCAAGAAACCGACAGGTTATAAAGAAGCAAACATGCAATTTTCCCAGCCTCTCAGGGTGTGGGATTATCTGATGACTCTTCTCGGGAAAGATGGCATGAATCAAATAGGAGGGATCAACCAGAAAGAACACACTCGTTTCCTCAATGGATTCATTTTCTTTAACCACTTTCTCTCGTTGCAGTACACTCCAAGCAAAATGCAGCTTTTACAGTTAATGAGGTGAGGTGCTGCTGCACTATGTAAAAGAAACCAACAGGGCATTGATGCAGTGTTTGGCGTTTTGCTCACCAGCACAGATGATGATGTGTTTTCAAGTCTGCCTGTATTTGAAACTTATACAGAATCTCAATCTGATCATATTTATAATGATAACTTTGCTTTACATCGCTATGAACTTTGGTTTACGAATGCAATTAATAAAGTTCAAGCCTGTACAATTATACAAAAAAAATTTATCGAATATGCATCTTTTAATGGAATTCAAATTTAAACAAAATGCATCAATCTGATCTTACTCCTATGCCTCATGATAAAATTGGGAATCGAGTTTTTAATTATAGACTTGTAATAAAAGATGTGGCAACTAGATATCGAAAAAGCTGTGCATTAACTAATAAATCAGCTTCCACAGTTGCTAAAGCAATTAAAAAAAAAATACGAAAATCCTAATAATCCTCTTTCTTGGTCTGAAA